ATTTTATTTGTATAAAATTATATTATATGTCTTCCACAACGCGGATCGACGCATAATCGTTTCTGCCGTAATTTGAAATACATTCTAGGTATATATAAGATGTTAAACAATAATTCGATGACAATCTAATTCAGTGATCATTTTTTTTCTTAGACGTAAGTTTACGATTGAAAAAATATCAGATCCGATATTATATAATATTATTGTAAATATTTATTGGAAATGAATAAGAAAATTATTTCTTAGTATATTTATAATACCTATGTATAATATATTACGCGTGTGTAGTTAATATTATATATTATATTATAGTTATTAAACCGGGTAAACATTACAATATTTTATATGTGCTCTCGAGTAAAACTATATCTTGGTCATCTCTGATATCTGTTTTATGATTATTATTATTATTCACTCTTTCTACTCCCACAATATATATACAAATATATGTATATATATTATTTATCGATGGTGATAATTTTATCTCAATTTTTTATGATTTGTCTAGTCCCATTATTTTAATTTTTTTGTTTTGTTACATATATTTATATACCTCGTTACAATAACGACGTACGGATGTACCAACCGTACGGACGAACACCAATCACGTTTACAGCACATTGATTAAATATGATATAATATGTCAAAATTAAATATACTATATTTAATCGATGTACCTATACCACATTAAACCTCCATAATGTAACTTTTAGCCGAGAGCTATTATAATACAATCTGTGACTACAACATAATTGCAAATATACATTAAGTAATATATTTGTGGGTGCAGATAGCATTTATGAATAAATATCATATATTTATGAATAGATATATTTTAATGTCTAAACCTAAGTTTTTTTCTGTATGTAATAAGGTACCTATACTGCATTTTTTAAGTCGTACACTGTAGCGACTGTAACATAAAATAATATTATTTGTAACTGAATTATAATTATAATTATTATATTATATTATAATTATTAATTGTATTTTCGATTAATATTATAATTATTATAAACGTTTGACTAATTTATTATTATTATTTTGTATTTTCATTTCGCGTAAATCAAGTATATTATATTGTAATATATATAAGTATAGTCGTGACGTTGTCGTTGTGACGCGATCGGTTGTCCGTAATACTTGTACTTAAATATGAATAAATAATGATATCAGTCGTTTTCCATAATATGAACACTGTAACGATATTGGCGTTTGAGTAAAGGGATTTTTTTTTATGTAAAATGTAATTAATCTTTATTCAATAAAATAAAGCAATTGTATTACACAAACACTACTGCTGTTTTTTTTAAAATTTGATCGAAGTCCAAAGACTTCGTGAGTTGCAGCCCTGGTCTGCAGTATTGATTGAGAATACTTTAAATAATATTTTATAATATATTAAGGCATGTTACTTACGTTTGTCATCTGTATCATAAATATCACAAAGCCATTAAGTTGCTTCACATAAATACCCGTGTTTTTTATCTCCGTTTGTCGTTTATTGATTTTTTTCTTATTGATTTCAAGCAAATTCTTAAATATCACATTTCCTTGAATGGATTAATTCACATATTTTACATTATACCTTTTACCCTTTGTTTGAAATTATTACACTCTAAACTATAATATTATAATGTAGGTACATTATTATTAAATAACCATTTCACACTTTTTTACTATTATAAATGTTGTGTAGTTACGTAATTTTTTTTAAATACCTATGTGCTATAAATAAATATAACCGAGCGTCTATAACATTAAAATTGATTCTTATAAATCGAGGTGTAAATTATTTTATATTGATAAAAAAACTGGTAATTATTATTATTAATAATGTGTTTTTGTTGAGTAGGTATGAGTGTGTGACTGACTTTTACCTTTGGCAGTTGACTAAGAAATACCGTTGAATTATACACAGTTGCTCAATAACATAATAAATTAATAACCAACTGAATGAAAAAAATACATTATACAACATAATAGTGCTCGAAAACGATATGTCATGAACGTAATCCATTGCAATTAGTGCTCAACATTTTCATTCTACCAGCTCAATCATCTTACGATTGCAAGAATTCAATATTTCCATAAAAAAATGACCCATACTTAAGAATGAGCATCACTAAAAGGGAGTATAATAACTTAAAAGGAGTTGACAACTTAAGATCACGTGTGATTACCTCTGTAGAAATCTAACAGATGTATGATTTAAATACCAATATATTTTCGGAATGTGCAATCGGGGACTGTACGGGATAGGCAGAAACCAAGACCACGAACTAATTCCCCAGAAAATTGGACAACTGTGATATGAATTTAGTGTAACTTTTAAAGTGAAAGTCATTACCTGGGACTTTGATGTATTAAGTTGAAGGCTTAGACCTTCTCCCCGATCAACCAACAGATCTAGATCTGCCTGCAATCCTACACGATTAATAAACTAGATTGTACGTTCATTGTTCGTGTATAGTTTTATATCATCAGCGAAAACTATTATTTTTGAGTGACTCAATATACAGAGGATTGCACTACGCTCTATTTACCAACAATGAAAAAAAAGGGATGATAAAACTGCACGTTGGGGATTCCAGATACATAGGTACATTCATTTGTACCCAAATGTAATATATTTTTTTCAATAATATTAGTAGACTTTGGGCAAGTGCTCGACTTTTAATTTTTCGTCGTTATTGGGTTAGTTTGGGTTGTGTGCAATGAACATACTAAAAGTATATTTTTTAACGGGATATGACTTTTTTTTATTATCATTAAATCTTTAGCGGATTTCCATAGGGATCTATCGTGTACATTCAAAGCTTGATATTTGAACTCGAAGCAATCAGATTTGTAGACTTGTCACTTGTGTATGTTTTTTAATTGTGCTGGACATACGATTTTGTGTTCGTTTTTCAGTATCGTCCGAGTTGCTATCGTAATAATATTGAAGATAAAATTACCGTCCTAATATGTTGGTCTGTATTCGATTATAAGACGAACGCTTGTCCAAATTACAGCCAGTCAACGTTACATCGTTTAGCCTAAGGCAATGCGTTGTCGTATTGTTTGTAATTTTAAAAATGTTTCAAATTTCGATAATGTATGGGGAAAATTGAAGAATGTTACTTTTTTAAAATCTAGACAGTATCATCCTCTAACGGGCAAAATTTCCTGGAGTTGAAATGCAAAACTATACACTAATGGCGAAGAACACTTGTTTTCAAAAAAGACAAATTATTATCCAAATCATGAACCAGATATTATTGATTGATTTATTTATTTAAAACAAATCATACAATATTTGAAAAGAATAAATTGATTCACTGACTTTTGTGAAATTAAACTAGTTCAAAATATCGAAACTTAGGTTTTATTCGTTTTATGTAGATATACAATACCTAGTTGCTTTTAAGATAGAAATATTCTGTAAGTTTTAAAATTGTAAGCCATTGTTCCCCAAAATGTGATATTTATCGCATAACATGGCAGTTAAGAAAACAATTTCAATACTATATCAAGAAATGAATAGATATTTAAATTTATGAACTTTGATGTGTAATATGACTATTGACATCACCCTGTTTTCATCTTACGAAATTGGTATAATACTTTAAGGATGCAGCTATGGACCTAAGTGTCTGCTGCCACTTAGTATATAAAGTGCAAGGACAACGTTACTTGAGACAGTTTTGAAGTTTGATGCTACACATCTCTGCAAATAATCATCTCACGTTAGTGATTGAGGCCAACCACTACGTCACACCAGGCCCCTAATTTTGTAAATTATAACCTTTTTATCGTCTCTAATCTATATTTTTACGAATAATGCATTACAATCAATTCAAAAATTCTTAAATATTTCTTAAGAACTTTATTAGACATTTTATTTTTTTATGCTCGTTATGATTTTAGAAATGCATAGTATAGACATGTGGCTATTGACTATTTTAAACATTCAGATTACTATTGTTAGTACTTAGTTGAAATTCCTAGATGGCGGATGCAACTGATTTGTTTCATGAATTTGTCGTTTCATTGTTAATTCTGATATTATTTATATGTATACAAATTGAATTTAGATCACATAATTAATTAATTAGTTAGAGGCATTCAAACTTAAGACAATGTGTATAGTCAACATTTTAATTGAAACCGATGTTAGCATAGAGTACTCCATTTGGCAAATGGAGACTTTGAATACTTTGGATAATACTAAGTTACAACTACCATGTACTAGCATGTTTTTCCATTATCCTAAATACACTAGTTGTCAGTTATGGACACGATTTAACTCACGCCGAATTGAATAGAACAATTTTACTTTTGCAAATTTTAATAAAAATTGATTATATAAATTGACATTTAGTATAACATGTATATAAATATATAAATAAATTCAAAGAAGTGCCAAAGTTGAAGAGTTGTCTAACAAAATTTTCAAAACTGATGGTAAATTACGTTTTAAACAGGTACAAAATATTAAAAAATTGGTAGAATTAAAAATTTTTTTTTTTCATATTTTAATATTTATTATTGCATAATTCATATACACCCTAGTTCCATAGTTATAATACTAAACTTGGTACCTACCTACAACAATCACACTAACATTTTCTACAAAATATGCTGCTATAGAGAATGTGAAATTTAGTTGTCGTTTAAAAAATAACAGTGAAAAAGTAGCTTAATTTATTAATAATTTTAATCTGAGTTTTAAAGGCTCAATATCCAGACGTATTTGCATAACTGTTTTATAGTACCCAACGCACTACGTACATGTACGTAAATTGTTTATAAATATGCCTGTCGATCAAATTATTTATGATTTCAATTTTAAACAAAGTTTTCGTCTTTAACATTTACTTTTTGTTTCAACATTTTAACAGGTAAAAAATTGTACAACAAATGGTTAGTGCGATTCAGTATAATCATTTAGTGTTTGTGTAATAGGCCAAAAGGTACCAAAAATGTATCATTGTCCAAAAAATAAATAACAAAACTTCAAAACGTAAAATATCAGGTTTTAATAATGTTGTTTATTTCTTATTATATCATCGGTATAATAGGTGGATACAAATTAATGTCTTCTTAATTTGCTGGTAAATTAATAATATGTGGACGAATTCTTCGTGCATTCGTCGTATGAAGGCGGTGGGTCATCCATGAGAGGTCTTGAAGGTGAGGTTACATCAGATGCATCGAGCTCCAAATAATTTAATTCAGAACTCAATGGCACAATCGTGGATCGTGCAGTTGGAATGTTTGTTCTAAAATTGTGTGCGGCATTAGATTGTTGATACGTTTGCTCAAGCAACGGATTATTCGTAATATTTTCATACCCCATACTATTTAAAACATTTATTGGAACTAAACAACGTTGTAGGTCGCTGTTGATTCTAGTTAAATGTCTAACGTTATCCAATTGAATCGCATCCGATATCACAGGTTCTATAACAAAATTAGTTATCAGTTATTAATAAACATAGAAAAATAATTAATTACATTATTGCTATTGGCACATAATATAATGTATTATAGACTCGAATTATAACATTGCTATCCTGCAGTTTTTTTGATAAAATGTTTAAACAATAACAATTTCGGACAATAACTACATATTTTTAACACTTTATTAACTACATAATATGTCAATCTTATGTTTTAATTATATATAATTTAAAAAAATATATTATCATAAGTTGTTTTGTTTTCTGTAGGTACTATATGGAGTATAGACTATAAGCAGCAAAATCATTTTAGAATGCCACAAAAAAATATTAAAATGCAGGAAATAGGTACATTATTCTCAATTGTACTTGTTTGGGATTAATATGAATTGAGTGAAAATCAGAGTTTCATTTTGAGTACTTCCTAAATGTATACACCCCATTCGAGATTCGAATAAAAACTTCCATTTGAAGCTATAGCTCTACCCGTTGTACTTCCCAAATATTTTGTATATTCTCAGACATGTAATAGATACAGCAATATTTACACGTATTTGAGATTGAATTTGAAACTTTCCACATGGGTACTCTCAGGTTAGGGAATAATTCCGAATATGTATCTGGATATTAACATAATAAGTATAGGTATAATAGTAACTATAAAATAAAAATATTTTCATACCTCTTCTACAGAATATTTGACTGCAGCACCAATATACAATTAATATTAGGATATAATACATAAACATAAAAAATATACATGCTTGGATTAGTGTACTATCCATTTCAATCAGTTCACTTGTATATTTTTCTACCCATCGACTTTGGTAATTGTCTTCTGGTTACCTACCTAATTGAAAAACAAAACATAAATTATGGGTTTGAATACCTATTTTAACTCTTGTAAGCTTTTCTTTCATTTACAAATCTAATACTTAGATGGTTCACAATAATTAATTTTAAAGTTGTTTGTAATTATAAATAAATGTCAGTAATACACAATATGCTTCTCTGTGAAACACTGCGCATAAAAACAATAATTGACAGCAATATCACTACTGCTATTGATGAGTCTAATAGGCGTTTATAGATTTTTATGCAAACCAAAAAAAAAAAAAAAGTATTATTTAGTATTATTGTGTAATATGTGTTCTTTTCCAAACAAACAATTTCAAAATCTCAGTGCATACAACTTAGGATTCAGATAATGTTGTATAATTTACAAATCTTGTTCAGTTCTTATTATATCATCGGTGTAAATGAATATAAATTTAATGTCTTCCTAAGTTACTGATAAATTAATGATATGAGGTGTTTGGACGTGGTCTTGCCATGTACTCGTCATGCGGAGGCAGTGGGTCATCCATAAGAGGTCTTGAAGATGAGGTTACACTATATTACGTATTAAGCTCCTCGTCACTCAAACCAGAACTAAACGGTACAATTGTGGCTCGAGTGGAAATATTAATTCTAGTCGTATGTGTAGCATTGTATGGCTGATGAGATTGTTCACGCAACGGATCATACATATTTTCATACTCCAAATCATTTAAAACAATATCAAATGGCGTTACACAACTTTGATAGTCACTGTTGATGCTAATTAAATGTCTACCGTTATCCATTTGAATTGAGTTTAAGACAGAATTTTTATTATTGGATCTAAAATAAAATAAATTATTAATTGTTATCAAACAGTGAACAACATTACACATTTATTAATTCTACAAAAAATATATGCCTACAAATTATCATAGGTATCATATGTAGTTTATATTATGCAGTATTAAATTTAAGCTTAACATTTTTCGGACAATAACTGTACTTTTGAGAACTTTAATAACCAAGCCAAGCAATCATAATCATTCATATGTTATTATTATTTTTTATAGAATATGCGAAGGAAATAATTATGATTTTTTTTTTTTTTGAAGTCAGTATAGGTACGCTATATGTAGCAATAATGACTCAAGAACGTCCGAACGCCACAGAAATAGTAGAATATAGGAACTATCAAACCAGGGCCGTTCCGAACGAAATAATAAAGGGGGGTGAGATGCTATAATGTTCCAACTCAAAAAAATGTTCTCGCATCACTCGACAACTATCTCCTACCTACACACATAGTAATCAGTAGGCATATTTCATACCATATTACAAAATATTAAATATTTTATTATATTCTCTATTTTATTATCTTTTATTTATATTTTTTTCATTACATCTTGACTAGTTTAGTAGTATATTAGAATAAAATATTTTCAATAACAAAATTTAGAACACCGTTGCATACTGATTATACTATAATGGAATGATTGGAATGAATAATGATACAAATTACCAAATAAACAAATATTCAATAACAATATTAATTAAATAGTAAATACTGTCAATACTGACTATATGATTTGGGTGAAGCAATTTTGGAATATTATCACTTAGTCGATGTCTAGGTGAGACGAGTCAACACAAAATGTTAGCATTATTTATATATATAGAAATTACAGTCGTCAGTGCACAACAGTTTCTCATCAGTTATCATAACGGTATTATTAAAAATAATTCAATGATTATAGGAATGTATAGGCACATTTGTATGGCTATCGAACGATTGAGAACGTTATACCTTTTTGGCCGAACGATTGAGAACACTTAAAAATAACAAAGAACTTACCACTGACCCTAAAAAAACCCATAAAAGAATACGATTGAGAACGAATTTACGTGCAACGTTGCCATATCATTTATTATTTATTATTTAACAAATATTCTAGAAAAAAGTCTTATGTAATATAAATATATTTAAAATTTTTTAAAAAATGTAGTATTATAAAAATATGTAATAAATATGTAAAAAAAAAAAGTAAAAATATTATACCTATGTATAAAAAATGTAATGAAAAATGAGTTAGGTGCCTATGTATTAGTTATAGCGGGATAGCGTAATCCAGCATAACCTAACCTTACGTTTATGCGAGGACTAGTGCGACGAAGTCATTCTCTCGTATATCTGGTATCTAAGTTATAAATAAGATCCGATAAATGTCCGATAAATATTAAATATCAACCGCATCAATCGTTCAGCCCAAAAGGTATAACGTTCTTTATCGTTCGATAGCCAATTATCGTGCTCAAATTATCTTTCGATAACATTTGGCAACGTTGGAAAAAAAAAAAGACATATCGAGCGTTCTCAATCGTGTTACCAAAAATAACGTTCTCAATCGTATTTTACCGATTTGTATACTATACTGTCATACTGACATACTTTTATAATATTATATAACATGTACATCGTTAATTACTTAAATATTATTATAGTATTTGTGTTGGACAGATGGTAATCGGAAAATCAACTGATATTCCTTCATACTATTATTTTTTTTTTATTGAACTTAAGCACAGCGACTAAGACCATAAGCTGTTGTAGGGGTTATGAACTGTGGTAGGGGTAAGGTTGGTACAGTAGGTTTGTTTTTACGATTGTTACGGTTGTTACGGTATAACCTATAGGTAGCAAACCCGTGTATGTGTGGCAAGGTTTTAACTACTACGAACCCGGGTGGTCACCCATCCGGGAGCTATAGTAGATGTGGCCGGTACTTACTGGCATTCCGTGACTGATAACAGCCAACGCGCCACGCCAAGCCACCTTCATATTATTATAAATTACAATATATTATTACGACATATTTGTACTTTGTAGTATTTACAAAACTATTTAAAAACAAAAAAAAATAAATCTATAATTTGATCAGCCCTTGGCCATTTTGTTATCACAACATTTAAAAACTTAAATATTGGTAGGTAGGTATCTAAAGTACCTAAAGTAGTTTACCTAAAGTAAAAAAATTTACTTTATGAATTAAGAACTTAACATTGACCGCACAAAATTATACCTATAGTAATAATCCTAGTGAACGTTTACATTTTTAAATAGACAGTTTTATATTTCTTAATTGGATGGACAGTTACTTTAGCCAAAACACAATCTTTTGTCCATCATACTTATCGACCTAATAATACGTTAATACCTAACCTAACTGATTTGAATTTGTCTACTTGAGATCGGTCAGTTCACTTTTCCCAATGTCACCCCCCGATAACAGTGAAATTAGTTTGAATATTTTGAAATTTTTGGAATTTTCAAAAGTTGATTATTCAGAATTTAATTCAGAAATCTTAATATGTGGACTGACCGATCTCAAGTAGACATTATGACGAGTTCGAATGAGCTTACTAAAATATTATAGCATTATTAGGTCGATCGGTAGGATGGACAAAAAGTGCATACAAATGATCATAAATTGTTTACCGTTCACAATTGCAACGTCGAGTACATCGGAGTCGGTTAATTGCGTCCCCCAAAAAAGGTCATAGTCATATACTATGTAAATTGCGGTCCGTGTATATTTTATATAAACGTAAATTGCGGCCTGGGTATATTTGATATATACCTACGTGAATTGCGGCCTGGGATATTCCGATTTCCGGTCGGCTGCACAATTTAAACATAAGTATTGATAATCTTTAATCGATGTAGATAATAATATGTTCACTAATATAATATTACTAGCAGCCAGTGTGCATTTGACCGACGATCTTACGCACGAGGTTTTACTCTTTGATCTAAATTTAACATTTTTTTTTCGATTTATTAAAAATGGACTTTATGAAAAGCGAAAGGAATAAAACTTTAAAAGTAGTTGATGGTTTCAAATTTTGATTTAAAAAAATGCTGAAAAATGATATTCAACGTTGGTAGTGTTGCTCAGTTAAAAGTGTTTTTTGAAATTTAATCATAATAGTGTGTGCATAGATAGTTATAAAGATCACAGTCATTTTAAAATTTCGGAACAAATCATAAATCGACAGAAACTTAGTAACAATTTAAAAATAAAAGCCGTCGACGATATGTTTACCAGGCCATCTAAAATTATTCATTCTGAATTAAGAAATGCTGACGTCGAATCTTTAACTAATCAAGATGTAATGTTGATCAAACGAAATGTACACAATGCTCGAGCTTCTGTCCTACCAAAATTACCAACCACTTTTATGGAATTACACAAAATTGTTTACAACAAGGAATTCAAAACAAATCAAAATTAAAATTTTTTGTTACTTAATAGTAAAGAAACAAATAGGCTTCTCTACATTAAGCAATTTAAAAGTGCAATGCGATTCGGATACTACATTTGTAAATGGTACATTCAAAAGCTGTCCGAAATTATGCCATCAACTATTTACCGTTCATTGTACAATAAATCAGTGTTATGTCCCACTCGTTTATATTTTACTACCTTCGAAGACAACACAATGCTATTTACAGGCATTTCAACATTTAGTTATAGAGTGCAAAAAAAAACAACCTAAAATGCAGTCCTATTCGATTGTATGCCGATTTTGAAAACGCTATTCACAATGCTGCAAGACATATTTGGCCTTCTGTTGGAGTAAAAGGGTGTAGATTTCACCTTGGTCAAAGTTGGTGCAGGAAAATACAGCAGCTGGGGTTAAGTAATGATTACAAAGACAATAATACTGATATAAGTATTTTTCTAATAATAACTTAATTCCAACAACCCCTGTAGTCAAATACCTGGGCCTAACGTTTGATAAGCGACTCACCTGGGCTCAACACCTCAAAAACAAAAGGAAATCTGTAAACTCTAGACTTCACTTGCTCCGTCCACTTCTCCGCTCCAAACTAAACATCAGCAATAAATTGTTAATCTACAAAGCTATTTTAAGACCTGTATGGGCATACGGCATCCAGATATGGGGCTCCGCGAAACCCTCAAACCTGCGAACTATACAAGCCTTCCAATCAATATGTCTCCGTCAAATCGTCTCTGCCCCTTGGTATATAAAAAACGCCAACCTTCACAAAGACTTAAACGTTCCCACACTTTCTCAGCTAACCAAATCCCACTTCCTCTCATTCCATTCAAAGCTAAATCACCATACTAATCCATTAATCAAACGTCTGTCTTCTTGTACAATTCCCGATAATCCTAGAAGAAGATTGAAACGATCTTGGCCTAGAGATATCCTTGCTTGATCTGTCGGGTGGTACTACTGAGTACCTTCCCACTCCGTTATATTCACCGATATTTCTCTCAACAAAATTATTTAATGTACAAAATTATGTATAGATTGTAATTATTCTTTTAATAAAAAAAAAAAAAAAAAAGTATTTTTCTAAAATTATTTTTTGGGCTTCCTTTTTTAAGATATGATATGGTTGAAGATTGTTTTGCGTATGATGTAATGACATTGCAACCACGAGATAATAGGATTGTACAATTTATTGACTACATATTAGAAACATATTTAACCAACGACGCAGAGTTTCTACCACAGATTTCCTCAACGATGCGCACAACAAATAATTGTGAATCATTTCACAAAAAATTAAACAGTTCATTCAGTTCATCACACCCAAACATGTTCAATTTCATTGACGTTTTAACAAACATGCAATGTGATACGTACATTACATTGAGAAGTCAAGGAACAAAAAACAAAAAAATGTCTGAAAAAGAAATATTTATACATGACAAAATGTGCAAAAATAATGTCTAGGTTAGAATATGTGCGTGAATTATTGTCTTTAAATTTTTACCAGTTTCTTAATTACACATTTTTAATAATACATATTTGAATCATACACGTTTTTACCGACACATTATTACTAATTGCTAATAATACATTTTTTAATTGTAAACAAAAAAAAAACAGCAAAACCAATATTTTTAATCATACCAATATTTATACAATTATATTGCCAGTCCTAAGTCTGAAAAATAAGAAGGAAAATATTGACTTTGCAAAAAAAAACTTAGACGCGGGATTAAATTTAAAATTAATTTTAATTTATAAATCACGTACTAATATAGGACGTAATTTACCTACCTATATGAATAAAAAATATTTTGAATAACTTCCGGCTCCCGGTTATAAGTTCCGAATTATACCCAGGCCGCAATTTACGTATATATAAAATATACCCGGTCCGCAATTTACATAAAAAAAATAAAAATGGGACGCAATTTACAGCGACCCGAGTAGATGACGTGTACATGCGTGTGCGGAAATATATAGCCAGCTATTTCTTAATTCTTAAGTCTTTTACACACAGTCACACACACTAATCAACACTTACTACGCACACATTTACAAGACCCGCATATTATAAGCAATTTGAAAATTACTTATTTCCAACTCCTTAAAAACTGTCCACCACCTTAACCCATAAATAGTATATTATATTTTATTATTATGTATAACATATTAGGTAATATTAATTAGGTATTGATTAAATACTTGCGGACTAGACTTGGATACGGTTATCAATTGGAAAAATAAACGTTCGATTCAGTTTTAGATGGGGCATTTATTTATAATTGCAAAAAAAAAAACAAGAAAAATGCCTTAAAAAATTTGATTCAATGCTATATTGCATATTATAGAGCTTTATAAAATGTCCAGATAAATTAAAAGCCAATTTAAATGAAAGTAAAATACAATTTAGACAGGTAGGTATATTCGTTGTATTTTGTGTTTCATTATAGCTCTGGCCAATCAGATGGTATTTGATATTTTCAAATATAAATCTTCGACAGTTGTTGGCAAGTGTTGTCTTGTAAAACTGATGTCATAGGTCATATGAGCGAACATAATACTCAATATAAATAGAAATATTGGTAAAAAAAAATTATATTTAGTAACGATAAAGTATTGGTAATGATACATTTTTATTCTCCATACGCTACCTAATATCCAATAAATAACATACATAATACATTTAATTGTCTCGATAGACTATTAACATTATTATTTCATTTTCTTATATTTACGATTTAAAAATCTAAGATTAAAGTGATTCACAAAAACTAAAAATGTAAAATTTGTGACCCTTCTGAACTTAGCAGTGCAATGATAACAAACAACTTTTAAAACAGTCCTACAAATTTGTTGGTGAGTTGTTTGAGATTGTTGGACAACTTTCAAAGTTAGTTAGACTTTATTTTCGAAGTTTGAAATTTTTAACTTTTTCTCCGCTATCTCTAATTATTATATTATATTACCGTACTTCGTATACCGAGTGTACACACCGCATACCGTGTGCATAAAATGTAACAACCTTCTATTTCCAACTATAACCATGTATTTTGTGTTTAATTTTTGGATCTATTTTGGTTTCAAATATTGGTGATTTTTTATAAAAAAATCTTTATCTCGTAAATCCTCACCCTTCGGGCATCGTCACCGAGATTGGCGGCTACTAATCCCTATATTTAGTACCTACTACCTACATAAGGACACTTATTTTAAAAAGACTTGACATTGTTATCTGGATAGTGTCTAAAAAAATATCATTGCTCTAACTGTTTAATCTAAGTAATCTTAATAAGAATGCTTTTTATCAAAGGTACTAAACTTAATTCTGTGTTATATAATGTCATTGAAACAGTGAACTAAGTGTGTAACGTATTGACGTGGTTCAAACATATTGAAATTATTGAACTATTTTATAGATTTCCAACCAATACAACTTCATATCATCCTTTTCTAACATTCTTTAATAATTAAAATAATAATATTGAGAGATGTAGTTAAAAATTTCTAACTTCGAAAATAAAGTCTATCAAACTTTGAAAGTTGTCCAACAATCTCTAACAAATTTGTTAGCCCGTTTTAAAAATTATCATTATCATTGCACTGTGAAGTTAATAAGGGTAAATTCGTGAAAACGTATATCCTCTAATCAAGCTAATATTACGTAAACGTACTGTGGTACTGTTTCATTTAGAAATGTGATGGGCTAGTATGACGTACCTGATGTTTTCGGTAATAAAACTTACTTAAAGAACCCCCTCTGGAACTCCTCACCGCCCCTCAAGGTTACCCTTAAACCTACGGTACCAAAACCATAGACAAATATTTTGTTTTAACGGATGGCCTGTAAGCTATTGTAGACTAAAAAATAGTTGCACAACTGTATCTCCTAATATAATGATAAAAATATGTAACTGGCTGTTGCACAGGTCAACAAAAGATAGTTTCTAAATAAAAATTTGAATTAAATAAAAGTATAGTCTTCTCTATTTATTGAATTGTTGCTTTAAATTTATTCAGAACTCTTAGAAATATATAGCGAGTGCCAGCAAATCACAAATATAATGAAATTAGTTTTAATTTTAAGGTACCTGGGGCAGTGCTTGTGATTGTCCGAACTTCGTGTCTTCATCGACTTGGAAATATGCTGATGAGCTCATCCTGACGAAATGATTTAATAACTTTAAGTATAAAATGTAACTCTCATACATATTCACATTGAACGATTATTTTTATATTTTAAAAATCATATTATTTCAGCTGTAAAAAAATTGACTACCAATTTCTAGATTAAGATTTGATCGTTGTTTAATAAAACCATCCAGCTTTTACTGTAGCTGCCTTTTAATATTTTTTTAGTTTTATTCTTATTATATATTCTAACCATTATATTATAATACGAAAATAATGATACAGAAAATGTTTTAAAATAATTTAAAGTCTATATACCAAATACCTGTGATATCTACGACGCAGAAATAGACAGTGCAGAGCATATAATTGGTGTCGTAAGTTAATAACAATTTACGTTGTACGTTCAGTGAACAATCAAAAATGCAATAGAATATTGACTTTAAATTTTATATAGTTAGTCATACATGTTTGAACATAACGTAATATGATTTTTGTTGTATGTACCAAATACCAATGTTATCGAGAAAGTGTCTAACTCTTATTAGAACGACTGACACGGATAAGCTGAACACACGAACTGACTTATTATCTTTATGTTGCTAAATTTTGTTTAGTAATAGAAATTGTTAAACTGTAATCAAAATAGATACCATTTTGTTAGACATTTTATTCTTCATACTCAGTGATTTCGGGAATTCACAGCATATCTATACGCTAGTATACAGGGTGTCTTAGGTGAGAATGTTTTTTTTTTAATGATTATGGATTCTCAAGAAAACTAAAAAATAAGTTTTTTTTATTTTCAACTGGAAATTGCTTATTATAATTTAAAAGTTTTAAATCACGCAGTTGTACCATCAGAAAAATTAACTTTTTTTTTAATGGTCACAACATTTTCAGTGGGTACTAGTAGAGCTTTGTTTGTGAAAAATTTGATAGATACTAAAATTATCAATTTTGGTTCACTAGTTTAAGAGTAGTCGGCAGTTAATTTATTAAATATTAAAAGTTTAATGAACAGTATAAATTGAATTTACCAGAGCTATATATATTTTTTTTGTAACTATCGTTTTATGTAATTTTATATTTTTTTATACACCTTAATCGGTAATTTAATGACAAACTACAAAAACCAAACGTCCGAGCTGTTAGTTTTTAGCTTCCTTTAATATTGTAGATTTAAGTATGCATAAAAAGAAAGTTAATTTATTTTTATTTTTATTAAATATATCAATCATAATAATAATTTAAAAATAATTATTGTATAATTATAGAATTAATATTAAATATTTTGTTTTCTCTGTAAAAAATTTAAGGCATGGATTATGTGGCATTACATGGCATTATATGCAAATCTAAATTCACATGAGCTGAAGTCATATTTATTAACACAATTGAGATCTAAAAACTTGGGCACACATTTCTAAATATTTTTTTTAAACGTTGTTTTAAATTTTCAATCCTTAGCTATAAAAATTTTACATTTTATAAATTTTCGATTTAATAAATTATGCTAACATTCGAACTAAAGGTGCTTTTTACCCAACAAATAAGTTTTATTGACATTTATACAAAAATAAAAAATAAAAAAATGTATAACTGAAAAATCAGTAAACAGCTCAAAATAAGTAAAAATATTTTGAATATTCAATCAATAGTAAGGAAAATAAAAAAAATATTTTGGGTACATTTCAAGTATCTACGGTTATTCATTTTATAATCACAATAATTAGAAAAAATGTTTCGTAATAAGAAATTGAATGAATATCAAATGTTGTGAAAATTTGTACTTTAAACGGTTAGTTAAGTAATTACAGCGGCTAAAAGGAATGCGGAAAGAGTAAGAGTATCCGGAACAATAAGTTGGAACTCTGGAATTAACACTAGATAGTAGGACAGAGACGTCAACTTTATCATTAATAATTTTAGAAAGAAAGCCTTTAGATTGGCCTGTTTTCTCCTATCACATAGCCAACAGGGCAGACAAACGGAGACGTTGCAACACTGGTTCATACTTCATACACATGAAGTGCGCACTCAATGCCTAATGCGAAAGCCGCAAATTTCAAAAATGTATTCTGCACTCTTTCAATTCGTCAACTACTATCAAGTGTGCATGGTTCCCAAATAATTACACCATACTCCTACACAGACCAAATAAAAGAGAAAGTCTTATGAGAACAGGACAATTTTAATTCCGCCGACATTCTTTTAACAAATCCGAGAAGCTTCGATGTCTTGCATGTAACTTTTTCAATATAAGTCTGAAAAATGTACGGTCACACCAAATCGTACTGCAGACACTTCCCTCGCTGTGTCAAATGTAGTGAGACTCATCTCACTGTGGATTGCGCAAAGTCCAGTGAACTGCCCGCGAAATATGCCTTACGCTCCTGAAACCATACGGCAAACTATAAGGGCTGCCCTGTCGCCAGAAAACTCATTTCCAAAACAATCAACAACGACGATTCGAAAATAAAAGTATTTCCGGGTGCCCCGACAGTCGAGGTCCCGATCACTCAACCTCCGCCCAAAAACAAATCATTTGCTGAATCAACGAAAAACGAAGAAAAACTTCCATTCACCAATATTGCCAATGTCCTATATAATTTCATTTCCAATCTTAATTCCATTATCAGCCCTCTTATCTCTCTTCTCACAACTACTCTTAATTCTTTCCTTGCTAAATCAACATAACTCCGTATTTATGGTATATATATTTGATTTAAGAGGACGTGATACCTGCATGTGTTGTCTCCGTCTTACAAGTGCGTAACATAGAAAATTTTACGCTCAGCAGAACACGTGTAGCTCCGTTAGTTTAAAAATTAGTGCGAATTGACCTCTTATAAAATCTAAGTTATGCGAGTTATGAGTATTTTAAAATTGTAAATTTTTCATACATCTTAAAATACTTATAACTCGCGTTAAAATATAAATATAATAAAAAGCCTATGAGGTTGCCTAGATAATAATCTTACCTTTAGATTTTATTAGAGGTCAATTCGCACTAATTTTTAAACTAACGGAGCTACACGTGTTCTGCTGAGCGTAAAATTTGCTATGTTACTCACTTGTAAGACGGAGACAACACATGCCGGGTATCACGTCCTCTTAACGTAGGTAACTACTAAACAGTTATTATCGATCTATTTTCGTTTTGTAATAATATTCTTATATAAATGTCTCGCCATTTCATATTTAATTCACTATCTAATATTTTATAATTTAATTGCCTTTTGTTATCATGTATCATGTATCATGCTATCATGTATTGTGCAGTCCATCGGTTAGACTATTAATTGTATCTTATCTTAAATTGCAACCTTGCATCCTATATTATTAATTAATTGTTGAACTGTAATCGTTGTCTGGTAAATGAATTTAACAACAAATTTTATTATATTAATGGACTGTATATTTAATATTATTTTTGCGAGTGCGTCGGCGCGTCGCCGACAACTCATCGACAACACCGACTGAATCACACACATAGTATAATCATAACATAATTTCTAATGACATAAAATATAGATACTGGTTTATCGTTAATCGATAACAATATTAGGTATATGGCGTTTCCGCCGTAACATAGACCCACCTTGAAACACAGTTTCAAAGTATAACAAAAAATATATATAAAAAAAAAATTATACAATATTAAAAAGTTATTTAAATGATCATAATGCCATTAATTTGGCTTCAAAATAAATCATAGCTGCCAAACAGGTCATTAGCAACGACAAATAATACACAATATTATGAAGATAACAATGGTTGGTCATTAAATGAACAAATAGGTATATATTATGTATAAATGCAAATTGATATATTATATTTGATTCTGGCTGACCTATATAATGTTTAAAAATAGCGAATTACATTTGCCTACGTTAAATGATATGTATGACAAACCAAATTATATACAAATACCTCATTCGCACGGGGCATGTGCGCTATCATTTTCTCTGGGTAACGGACATAGCAATCGAACAGCACGCCTTTTGAAACCCGAATTTGTGAACACCGTGGCTACTCTCACGACACCGTCAGGTCCTGGATGAACTTCTGTGACTCTGCCCAATAACCACTTTAGCGGGGGCAAATTATTTTCCTTTATTAATACCAGCGTGCCCGGTTGAATGGACGGCCCTCTAGATTTTGACCATTTGTTTCGGCCTTGTAGCTGCCCCGAATACTCCTTGCTCCATCGAGTCCAAACGTGTTGCACAAGCTGCTGCACTCTTTGCCACCGAGATAATCTATTTATTGGCATACCTCCTACATCCCGTTCAGGCAGTGCCCGCAGTGAGCTACGCCTATTAGAAAATGGGCAGGAGTAAGGACGTCCAAATCCATATAGGGTCCTCGGATAAAGGAATTAAAGGACGCGAGTTTAAGCAACATTCTACTTGGGTTAATACTGTACATAGTTCATCGTACGTTAATCGTGAATTTGCAATGGTAGGTACGATTTAAGTGTTTTTTACGGCCTCGACGGCGGCCTCCCATAAGCCACCAAAATGAGGGGAACGTATGGTGGTATAAACTTCCAATTAATTTCTTGTAAAGCCAATGTGTCTTGGACGCGGTTTTTGTGTTGTTCTGAGAGAAGGAGTGCAGACAAATCACTTAATTTCTTATTAGCACCTACAAAATTTGTACCATTCTCCGAAAAAATGGTACCGCACTTTCCTCGTCTTGAGATAAACCGGTGCAAGGCGGCTACAAAAGCCATCAGTGGTGAGATCACATACTAGTTCTATGTGCACAGCTTTACTTGCGATACATATAAAAATGCATATAAATGCTTTCTGCGACGGTGCGTTTCTACGAGCATGTGACTTCATCAGTATTGGCCCAGCATAACCAACCCCCGTATTTTCAAAACATCGTAGTGGCCGGTTTACTCTTGGTGTGGGTAAAATACCCATGATTGGCTATACGAAATTAGGTTTATTTTTAAAACAAATTACACATTTATGGGCGACTTTCCGAGAGGTTCGGCGCCCATTTATCGGCCTATATTTTAATCGCACGTTTGCTAACATCGCTTGGGGCCCGACATGTAAGGACATTTCATGTTCGTTTCTAAAAATTAGGGTATCAAAATGGCACGCGTTTGGAATCAGAATAGGATACCGCTGATCATGAACTAGGTCCGTCGCGTTACCAAGGCGACCGCAAACACGCAAATATATTTTCTTTATCCAAGAATGGGCTTAATGACTGCAATTTTTTATTTTGAAGCGCTTCCCCAAAAAATTGATTTTGTAAGAGCCTAATAAATATTTTTACCGATTTTTGGATCTCGTCATTGCTGAGTGGACCCGAGTATCTTTCTTTTGCTCTTAATTTACTTGAAATATTATGCACAAACCTTAATATGTATGTAAACACACGCTGAAAACGACTTAATTTTGAACATTTTTCAGACAGTTGAACAAAATAATTATTTTTTGTTACTTCGGCAACCATTCCCACTGAGTTTGACTGCTTACGCACTTCGCATATTGTATCCTCGTCTTCGTGCATTAGATGAAGTGTTTCCCAACTCGTCTGCTCGTCCATCAACCACGCTGGTCCGTTCCACCACAGCGTACAATTTTGTGGGTCTTGTACATCACAATCCCTGGATACCCTGCTCATCGGCATGTCCGCAATCAAAATAAAAATAAAACATATTATTTATATAAAGTACTCATCAAGCGGGGTCCGCAATCCATAACAGGTATCAATACAGGCATAATATACTGCTCGCATTATAGAGTCTCATATAGAGTTGGCATTTTTAACGGGCAACAAAGTGCACGGGATAAGCTAGTATATCTATGTGTATATATATATATATACGTATCCACACATATTGTTATTGAAAATTATGTATTACAGATTGTTTGTTTTAAAATAAAGAAAAAAAAGCTATTAAAATATCCATTAAAAATAAGTGAAAACATAAATAAATACATAGACCTGCCTAACATAGTAACATAAGTGCTACTATTATGACGCATAAATCAAAATGCATTCTGTTTACATACCTACTAATTGAATAATCCACAATGTCTAATCATCAGCTGTTCAGATTGGTCTTCAAATTCTTTTAACGTTAACATCATTCACACTGCTTAGTATAAGACTTCATTCCGATTCGGGTACATTTTCACTGTCGAAAACCATCTCTGAAATAATACACATTCAGTTATATTATGTTCAACAATATAGCTATAGGGTTATCTATGCACGAAGGCATTACAGGTGTCATACCTGAAAATAATTTTTCTATACCTATACTTAGTTATTATGAGTGTTAATTTTTTTAAATGTTTTATCCATCGATTCATTAGCTTTATATTTAAAAATGTTGATAACATTTCTTCACGAGTCAGTTCCTCAGTTATATGTATAGTAGTGAACGCGACTACCGGGATTTAATACAAAAATGTGATTTTAAGTTTTTGATAAATATCAGATGAATTTTTAAAACTTGCTATTTTATTTTTGTAATAATTTGTATTTGATTGTTTATAATATGTTGATTTATGTGCGTTTTACAATGTTATTTATTTTAATAATTAATACAATTAGTTACATATTACTATTACTATATACTATTAAAATTACTATTTTAGACTTAAAATAATTATAACGTAAACCTAATATATGTGCAGGTACATAATTAATACATAAGATTCCAACTCAAACATTTGTACGAATACTACTGACTAACAAATCAATCAATAGGTCATAATTATTTTATGTACCTATAAATAATAATTACATACCTACATATACAAGCTTCCTCATAAAGTATAATATCTGTATTTTAAATATAAGTTACTACACGCAATGCAACCATTGAAATACTTAAACTAATTGTATGAGGGTAGAACCCGATTGCGTACGATTTACCTTTTTGTGAACACGATTGCGTATGTTTGCTGTATAACAATGTAAACCCTTAAAATGACACGATTGCGTATGCAACGTTCCCAAATTTCTAAATAATACACAAAAAGTTTAAAATCGACATGCAATTGTTTTATATTTAACAATTCAGATGAATATTTTGAGCTTAATTCAATTAAATATGTCCACATTTGAATATAAGTTTCTTTGCATTTATCAATTAAAAAAAAATAAAAAGTATTCAAAAGTACCATCTACAAATACATCTTCACACTAACAGTACATTAATATTTGTCTTCGCTGTAATACAAATAAATTGCAAATCGTCTGGCGCGTGAACACATTTTTCTTGTTTGAATTTAATACCACCATTTTCTTCCATTTTTCTCAACTGAAGTATAGCACTGGACAACGAATCTGGGAAAGGAGGATAATTTTTGAGTCTTTATCGGACATGTCTTTTCTTATCGATTTTATATCTGAATGTGGCACTTCAAAATCTGTTTCCATCAGCTCAGATCTGATAATTTTTGATGGTCTAATTGAAATTGAGTCATAAGTAATGTGAACTCTTATTTCACGATAATCATTTGATATTTCCAGTTTCGTTTATATATGACTTACGGCTAGCTTAACTTAAGTAGCTTGACAACGGTGAACAAAAATAACGTACTCAATCGTGTTATGAAAAAGGTTCAAAAAGGTACCGCCGATAAGCAGCGTACGCAATCGTATTCTACCCTTGTATACTTTCATTGCCACGAATCCGTCTATGGTGTACATATTTTACACCATTACAAACTTTCATTTCAAAAGCTTATATTATGGTTTATGAATAATTTTAATAATATTGAATTTAAAATTAAATTTAAATATGAATGTTCAGTGTTTATCGAATGAAAAATAATAATAAATATAACATACAAAAAGCCATTGGTAATTTTTATAATTTTTTATTTATTTTTTTTTTAATATCATTCAGGTATTTATTATTATTTATTATGTATGTATTTTTATTCAAAGAACAAAGCGTGACGAGACGATCACATTTTTTTTGTTCAGTCTCACGTATTTCATGCATTCCACGTTCGGAAATAAAATATGCGTCTACATCACCAGAGCAGTTCATTGTCCATGGCAAAAAATATTTATTTTAAGTCTAAAAGTACATTTAAACCTTCAAAAGATAAACGGAAATAAACTTACTAAACACTACGTCATTGCACCACCACCGCGACCGATGTGGAAACTCCACAGCTCTAAACTGATAATATTATGATTTAAAAACAATAAAACCGAACGGACACAAAATTTTTTAGTTGGTGAACTGTTTGCTTAAAGACATTTTTAGAATCGTTAACATCGTCTACGTTTTTCGCAACGATTGCCAATTGCCATAGATGAGAGATATTATAATATGTTTAAGTAAATTTGATAAATCCACAGGTATAATAAATAATTATATAATACAATTACATGACTGACTTGGTTTTTATGCTGACTTCGGATTAAATGACCAATTTTTCTTATCAAATAATATTTTCTACCACCTTCCATAGGTGACCCTATTCATAGACAATAAAATTGATACCGGTGATACCTGCTAGCTGATTGTTTAATTGAATTATTTACGCTATCTTAATCATAAAAGATTCATGAAATATATACATCTGAAAATGTATGGCGTATGAATACTTAATTTAATGAGGTTCATACAATTTATAACGATTTATTTTCGAAAAAACATGAGCACTTCTTATTTTGTGTCACACGGGTTCAACCAGCAACTAATACGAAAACTGCTCATTTTTTTTTTTAATCATAATCCTCTTTTGAAAACGTCCAGAAAAAATAGGTGCGTCTTCGAGGCAAATAGGATTCAAATTGGTACAAATCTTGTACAAGAAAATGAGATAGTTCCGAAATCGATCGGTTGACTTTTGGTGGTCCAGAGTGCCAGGACGACGCTTTTACAACACCCGGACAGGAGATTCGATTTTGAATAAATATGAGAGTGGTACAAATTTTCTTAAGGAGGGGACAAATGGGTGCAAATCGAGTACAAAAAATGAGATAGGTAAGGGGGAGGGGTTATGACGACTTACGGGTGCCCGAGTATGTTTTTTGAGTCTTGATAACAACCAATTTATATTAAAGTGTGTTACTTTATTATATTATAATTTATAGTCAAAAATAATAACTAAATATATAGTAATATAGTAATATAAATTAGTATACATACTAATAATATAGGAAATTATATAATTGTGAAATATTTAATATCTTTATCTAGTAATACATTTAAGGTGCATAATGTAGATAAAATATAAAGATTAATAATAGTATTGTTATAAATACTTAGTGTAAAACCTAAGGTGTTACCCGACGTATAGTAAAGGCAAAACAGGCATTTCCCAAAATCCTAAAATCATACATTATTTTTATTATTTATTTACATTTAATTAATATGTATAAAATCTGGTATATCAAAAGAATTCAGTTGTTTCTAACCATGCAATTGATGTGTATTACATAATTGTGATGAAGACGTTCCTTTAATAAATAAAATATTAAAATTATTAATTACTTTGCCCAATAGTAATTATAGCTCTGAAAGGATATTCTCTTCATTGCGGCGTCTTAAGACTTGGTTAAGATCAACAATGTGTGAAACACGTTTGATTGGACTTGCAATACTGAACATTCGTAGGGATATGGCCATTGATGTTGAAAAATTAATACAAAGTTTCTCCAAAACCGAAAGAAAAATTCCATTTGCAATTTAGAAACCATTATTTTATACAGTAAATTTAGAAAAAGTAATGTAATTAAACATTTGATAAGCAATAAGATAAAATCTTGAGTAACTTAAAAAATATTTAAAAAAATTTTTTTTTGTATGTTTATTTTTTGGTCTACTAAAAGGTAACTTAGTTTCAACTATAATTATGATGGTATCAAAAAAATTAAACATAATAAACCCTGATAATCTATTGATATTATTTGATCTATTCTGGATCCGCGCCAGGGTAAAAACCGTATAGGGGAGGTCTAACTTTTTGATAGCTCAACATAGTTATTTCAATAATAATATTCAAATTTTAACTAATCTTCAAATTTTTTTTCCTAATAAATTTTCAGAGCTCAAAATAGACCAACAATCTCATGATTGTCCACCAGAAACTTCCCTCGGAGTTGATGGTTTTATCATTTTTACTGATGAAAAAAGTGTTTAGATTTTCAGACATAAAAATAAAATATAAAAACAAACAACAACGTAAAACCAATAGTCAATAAGTACATTTATCAAATTTAATTTATTTGACATAAACATAACTACATTAGTATGAACTATAAGACTTAATGAAGAATGTAAGCTACATTAAACAAAAAAAATGTAAATATTATAGTTAAATGGTGAAATATTTCATAAACGTATACAAAAAAAAAAAATACATAAACATGTACCTACTCTAAATAATACTTTTACTTAACCTATATTTAATGAACAATTATAACCATTAACTACATTCTATTCGCTGAGAGACCAAGACCGTTCCGCGCAGACGACTGACGGAAATACGGGCTCTCCGTCAAATATCCCTTATTTACGACTAAACTATTTTGAATACGTAGTGAGTTCGAATAAACGTTCATGTCAGCTGTGATAACAATATGCTACGTATTCTATCAATGATAATAATTTAACAATATTCTATTGCAAAGTACATACAACACATTTATTAAATTAATTGTTCAAAAAATAACACGAAACGCGCTCGAACATAAGAATTTAAATCACTACAAAAAAACATGACACTGTGTGACGTATGGATCGAATTTCGAGCTGCTGGCGGTCTCCGTTACGAGTAAAAGTGATGCAGATCGACGAGTTTTCGTCCACCGCGCAATCCTGGTCTCTCGGCGGACAGAGTTATAGGCAAAAAACGATATTAGTTGGTAAGGTAAAATACCGTACATTAAGTAATTGTTGTACCAGTTATTCTTTTTTCCAATTTATCAACACGTTTACAATTGTGTAACAAACACGCATAGTCTGTAATAAAATAAAATATATAATATTTATTAAACCTACATATCAAATAATATTCTGGTACTATTTATTGTGTAGAAAAATGTCACATAAACATATAATGCTCTGCTCTCCTTTGAGGTAGGGACAAATCAAATTATTAAGAGAGCGATTTATGAGGTTTTTTAATTTTCTAATAATTTTTATTTATATAATATTCTCAAGACATCCAAATTGTCGGTTGTTGTTTTCTTTTTTGTACTTTATCTAAGTATTGTTTTTACATTTCACCAATATTACTATGGAATTTAGTCAAGAAAAATCTTAATGAAAACAATTATTATAGCTTATCAAAAATATTCAGACCGACAACAATAGACCTATGAGAAATAGAATCATTTATGGCTAATGATTGAGCCCTTTCATTTTCTCCCTTCAAAGTTCAGGCTCATTAATATGCGAGGGACCGAAAAAAAATTACCACCTGGCAGCCACCCACAATGGTCAACACCGAAGACACTTAATAAGATAGGAACCAAAACATGAAGGACATCGGGTAATATGAACAAATGAGGAATAAAAGCCGATGGAAATGCTAATATGATGAAGACTGAGGAGCGAAATGCAGAGCATTTGTTTGCATGCCCATCTTTACTGGACAAGTGTAGAAAAGGTCTCATAACGACAGCTGATATCACAGACAAAGTGATAGAAACCACTGATTATTGGCGAAGGAAGGCATTATAAAGCTGATGAAGACTGATATGAAAAGAAGAAGATCATTGAATTCAAATTGAACTTCACTGACGAGGTCAGAGATGCCTACAATCGACATCTGCTGTAAATCCGAGTGGTTACCAACTTGCCCACCTATTTTTCTTTTTTCCAAATTATTAAGATAGAACCTGGAAATTTTTCACTTTTTACTCCATAAAAGAACAGCTGAATTCACTTTTCGATAAAAAAAAATATATATCGAAGTAGGAGATTTGAGCATTTGTATTGCTCAAAAAGGTGGTGACACACCAAATAAATTGTGAAATCACACAATATCAGTGCAAAATAAATGAATTTAATGATTCGCTTAAAATCTAAAATAAAAGTTTAAAATGGATTATTCTAAAGGTTTAATTCTCATTTGCTGCTAAAAGATGCGTTGATAAGGGAAGAGAAAATACAGATATGGCGTCCTTTTAAACATATTTATAAAAAAAAAAAAATGTAAATGGAATTCGATTCCTAAAAAAAAATTCAATAACTTAACATCAGAGACTTACTGATTTTCTTCTTAACAAATGTACTTACTGTATAATTGTTTATTAATTAATATGAAATCTACAATAACTTTGAGACTTCTAAATAAAAAATAAATTTGACTTTATTTATAGTGGTATTAGATTTTAGATTTTACCATATTTATTTATATTGAATACGGGATGAGCCCAATTACATTGATTTTGTTGACAATAATTCACAAGAAAAAATTACACATATTTAAGAAAGAAAGACAATATGAAGACTAAATGTTAAAGAATTGTGGGTCCTCATTGGCCAGTTCCATCATACGAACTATAGGGCGATTAGTTAAATAATTACAGCGGCTAAAAGGAATATGAAATATATATTATACCTATATGACCAAAGTAAAAAAAAGATTCAGAATTGTTCAATTAACAATATTGTAAGAAAATGTACCAAATAGTTAGAACTGTTAGAAGTATCAAAAATTCTTACTTTTCAAAATTTCGAAATCACAGCAATGTAGTGCACTTCTTTGGAGCAGGACAGAATTATCATTTTATTAAAAGAATATTAAGGAAAGTACAACTTCCACTGCCAACTTAAATGCTTAATATATATATTATAACTTATAACCATTACAGTTTTACTATTATGGAACATACTTGATAAAATATTTCCATGTTAATAATTCTCGTCCTTGTATATTGTAATTTTGGTTGGTGTGCATTATTCATTCTCATTGTTAACAAAATCAATTTTTTACATTTCATGTCCATTTCTGTCCAATTGCAACTATACAACCCAAATATTATAGAATCTTTCTAAAAAAAAAGAAGAAAAACATAAAAAGAAATTAATACAGGTATAAATTAATTTTAAAACTATTTAATGCAACCTAAATTTGTAAAAAAAATCAATTATGCTCTGCTGTACATTTGGTGTACAGAGAAGTCACTATAATGGATGTGTTAAATTTGAATAAATGATATAAAATCATTGCGCATACGAAAAATGATTCTGAGTGAAGACGGTCAGCCATCCTTTAATATTATTATTGTGATTAAAGAAATTTATTTTACCATTAAATATTAGTCAGCATTAGTACTTCAATAGGTAACATTAGCTTATGCCGAAAAAATTTACCCGAAAATATGATAATATGCATAAATGTGAAAGTAACCAAGAATAATACTTTTAAATTACAATAAAATAAATAAAATCGCCATTATTTGTTTAAATATTTCCAAATTTGAATTTAAAATGTCTATAAAAAAAAATGTGATTATAGATTTATACATAAATATATTATGTAAATAATAAATTATCATATGTAAATAATTATATTTTTATATTAAAGATTTGTTGGTTACAGTATATGAACAATTAGTGTGATTCCTTGTTTTAAAAGTTCAATCCTTAGCTGTACAAATTGAACATTTTATGTATTTTTAACTTCAAAATAACATAAATTATTATTATTATGTTCATGCACGGTTATATATTATTTTTAATTATACATTATACTACATTTCTACTAACTACTATATATCAATTTTGATACAATTTTTATCGTTATTTAAAAATTAAAAAATTAAAAATTTCAAATGTCTAGAAATAACTCAAAAAGAGTTGAAATATTTTGAAAATCAAGCTAATTTAATGAGAATATTTTACATAAAGTAGCAAATGGATACACTTGGTTACCACAAAATATACTAGAGTTAATGATCGAAGCATTTTTACTGCTTCGAAAGGTGATGAAACACAAAAATACAAATACCTATTATAAATACTTCTATACTATTTTTAAATTGTGTTTTATTGTTAGTGGAAACTCAATAATATCTATATGTGACATTTAAAATAAAAATGGTTTTTTTTATTATAATTTCTCTGTAATTTATGTACCTATACAAACAATATTTTAATTAAGTATATAAATTCAAAATTACTTCATTGTGTAAGGTATCAAATATATAACAGTACATATACATTTGATAAATACAATACGGAATTGAAAAACTAGCTTTCATCGATGTCACTGCCATAGTGCCTAATGATTCCGTAAAATCTCTTTCAATAAAACTCTGAAATCATTAAGTACATCAAAAATATGAGATCACTTGCCGTAAGTATAAAAAAATATAAATATCATAAGAAAACTACCTAACGTAACATATACCATAAACAAGCAAAATTTATGAAAAAAAAATTGTATTTATCTAAATAATTAAATGCTAGTGTTCCATTGTGTTTGTATCTACCTTTAGAAAAATGAACCAAAGTACAATGATCGAATACGACAAAACAAATACTTCCTGTAACATTGATGGTCGGAATATTGATAAAAATTCATTATATTTCCTATATAAATAAAGACAAATATTAATACAAAAAAACTCATGTTTTGCAACAAGACAACATTATATAGCGTGAAAAATAGACAGTTTCGAAACTTATTTTAGTATGAAAAACTTATCCATATAATCACTAGGAAAAATAAATATGACTAGAAAATCGTTTTTCCTACACACATTTTAAAGAACTTTGAAATAACTAATTCATTTTTTTTGCTGAAAATATTATTTTTTAATGTAGGTACCCATGAAATGTTTATAAATTATGTATCATCACATTTTCAAAAACATTCATTAAATGATAAGAATGCAGAATGAAAGATCAAAATTTATATAACGTTTTATATTTAGAAAACCAAATTAATATGTACTTACTTCAGAATGTTTTGGTGGTCAATAATAATTTTTTTTAACTCATTGTACACATCCATATTATTTTTATTATGTAACTCAATCTTGTTATTAATATTATCTACTAAAAACAACATATTAAAATTATAGTTAAACATTATACTTAATATATCTTTTCAATAAGCAGTATTTGTGTGGACTGCCAAATTTTTGGCATTTAAATTTACGTGCCATCTTGTAATACATTTTCAATCCTAAGCTATAAAAAGTTGAACATTTAATAAATTTGTAACTACAAAATAATTTGTAAGTTTTCAATTTAATAAATGTTGTCAACATTTTGACTTTAAATGTTTATAAAATAAAATTGAGCCAATATATTTTTAATATCTTACAACACGTTATTGTGGCAGTATAATAGAAGCTATAATTTAATTTTAAGCTTTTTGACCCAACGAACAAAATGTTATTGTCATTTATGGAAAAAAAAAAGCTAAATAAATTTAAAACTGAAAATATCAGTTAACAGCTCAAAACAAACCAAAATATTTTGAAAATGTCATCAAGTACAGAAAATAATAAAATAAACATTTAGTGTAAATTACAAATATCATCTACAGTTATTCGTTTTTAAATTACAAAAAAAAAAAATAAAAAAAAAAAACGTTCCATGAGAAATCACGAGTTTGACTTTTCAGTATATATTTTTTTTTTTGAAAAAATATAGATAGCCCTTTTGAAATCTCATATTCAATTTTTATATCTAAAATGTAAAAAGAAAATTTGCTATGAATTTTTAACTCAAAATATTTTTTTAATTTTCGTGACTTATTTTAATTATTTTGTGAAAATTCGAAATTCAGACTCTTATAAAAATTATTGTGTGTTTATGCTCTACTTTTTTTTTAAATTTTCACTAACAATTTACGGGGAACCTTGTATTACATTTTGAAGTTTTTTGACCAAATAAAAATTGTTCTATCTACATTAATTTAAAAAAAAACTAATAATAATTGTCAATGCTGTAGGTACTTACTATTCGGGGAGTGAAAGGATTTATGTCCGACCGACTTTAACGCAGTGGAAATCATTCGCAACTGACTGGATAATGTGAATCCCAACGTCTTCACAGCCGTATAATAATTGATGACGAAAAAAAAAAGAATGCTACTGCCAAACGTTTCGATGATGTAAAATACATTAAAATAAGCGTCGTAAGCTTGTTCCGAGACGAACAAGTATAAATTTAGAACGTTCAGGCGATAGGAGCTGGTGGAGCCGTCGTGATTTCTCATCACTATCAACGTGTCTCTAAATACCAGCGGACACGCCGCGTAACAGATAAACACCAAGAAACTAATCATCACGAATATGTACGTGGATTTAATGGAACGATTTCGCGCCACGTCCAGTGTGCGTCTGCCTCGGAGACCGTACGACGTGAAGTCGAACTGGGTGGTCGACAAGCAATCCCGCAGGAGTTTCGAGTGTTTGATGACGATGTACATCTTGTAGCTCGCGTACAGTATGTTCACCGCGTAGCAGAAATAGAGTATGGACTCGGCCATGTTGTATATGCAATAGTACAGGCCGTTCAAGCACATCATCGCCGAAATGATGCATTCGTAAACAATGAGAAATACCAATAACGTTCCGTGGTATACGTTGTGGCGGCCCGGCAATGTTACCGTTTCGGTGTCCAAAATCTGACGGAATCCGAACAATGTTGCCATGACCTGCAGGTTGAAAATTCTGTTGTTATTGATTTGAAGAATACTCATAGAACGTTTGTGTGATATTATAATATCTATTCGGCACCAGTCAAAAAGTATACCTAAATCGCATAAAATGATCGGAATGCTTTCTATAACTGCTAGACCGCATATATTATTATTATAATACAAATACATACGCAATGACTCGGTGGTCGGGACGTTACGAGTTTTTTGTAGCTCACTATAACGCTATACAGTTGTTATAATACTCCCCCAAAAGTAGAGGGCTATCGCTTCTTTTCTTTAAATATAGCTCTCTAATTTTTCTAAATGTTTTTAAAATGATCTCATTGAAAATTAGTAGTTTGTAGTTTGAAGTGATTTGACATTTTGTCCCCGGAAGTGATTTATATCTACACGAATAATCGTGGATTAAAACCGAAAATTTCACTGATGATACACTTATCATTATTATATTATATAAATAAATAAATATACTATACTTTTAACTACCACCAAATCGGTTGAAATAGTTAAAAAATGAGAATAGTTTTCGCTACGTCTCTACAATTAACTTGCTACTCCCGACCACTGGCGAATGTTGATACAAACATTTTACGAAAATTGAGTTCTCGTGATATTTATGATGTGTTAATCTATGAAGATTATGTAGCGTTGCGTACGAATTTACTTTAATTTTTAACCACTGAATAGTTCTTGTATTTTAAATTACAGCGGTCGAATCCACACCTAGATTGTAAAATTTAATCAAATTAAAAAGTTATACTTATATACCCAATACTTTTTTTTTAAGTTAATATAGTTTTTTTTTGTATTCATTGTTAAGAGAATGTTCTACAAAAAGAAAATTGTATTTTAAAATCGTACACCAACTGAACACATCTCACAGCAGGCGGTACTGCCGTCTTATATGTATTCAACTGTATGTGTATGACTCCGGTGAGGACTGAGGTGGCTTAGTGAAACACTCAAACACGTAATATATTTATAAACGGTTGCCTTTTCAAGAAATGTGTGGAAATAGGTTATGTGTAATTATTTATGAGTGATGCACAGACGCATTTTTAATTATAATTTATAGGTAAGTATTAATATAAACCTTCCAAGAATTATATTTTTTTTCCGCCATTATTAATTTAATGATAAGTTTGATGTTATGACAATCGAGTTTTATGCAGAAGCAAGCCTGCAACTGATTGTTAAAAATTATATACCTACCTATTTGTTTTTTTAATCATGCGGTCGATATAGTCCTTTTATTTAATGAACTCATGTCCAATTATTTTTCTAATAACCTGCAGTTCTCACGTATGTCATGGCCAGGCCTAGGTCATATCAATTACTAGACAGGTTTGAAATTTATTTTACAAAAATAAACAAATTTTCCTAACTAAAGTAGTTTGCCGATAATACAATAATACAGGATGTCCCATCGTCCCGGATTTTTCGGGACGTTAACAGTTTAAGAACTCATGTCCAGGTAAAGTCTGATGAAGTTTCCACTTTCTTTTCTAAATTAATCCCATCATCATAGCTTCTAGCTACCTACAAAATCATCTATATCTCTCATGGAAGACTGGTACACTAAATGGAGGTTAAAAATAAATCAAACAAAATCTGTGCATACTACGTTTACTCTTAGAGTCTTACCTTGCCCTGCTGTCTCCATCTTTGGCTCCCAAATTCCCAATTCTCAAACGGTTAAATACCTCGGTCTAATCCTAGATCGTAGGTTAACTTGGTCTCATCATATAAAATCTAAGCGCTTAAATCTTAATGCTCGTTTTCGTTTGCTCAAAACATTCATCAATAATAACACACACACAAACCTTAATACAAAACTACTTATCTATAAATCCCTAATTAAGCCTGTATGGACATATGGCATCCAGCTATATGGGGTAATGCTAAAAAATCTAACCTTAACAAAATCCAAACCCTCCAAAACTTAGCCCTCATGAAACTACTCAATGCTCCACCTTACGTCTCGAATAGAACTATCCACTCTGACTTAAAAATGAAAACTATCCAGGAAGAAGCCAAAGCACATTATAAGCGTTTTCATAACCGTCTGTCTACCAACAGTAATCCACTAATGACTAATCAGCGATCTCGCAGTCCCGACCATTCCTGGCGATCCTCCTAGGCGTCAACGCAATTGGTGTCGTGACTTTCTCATCCCTCCCTCCCCCCAATCCAAATTTAAACAATAAAAAATAAATAATAGCATAAAAAAAAAAAAATAATAATAATAATAAATACCCACAGTGAGTGTCATTAATGGATGGCTTCTCACAACCCGTGATTTATGTAAATATATGTTTAGGTTAGTTTTTTGTACTAATGTTAATTGTATATGTTGTATCTCTCATCGCATGTACTCATTGTGCCTCACAGGTACAGATACAGATTGTTTATTCCAAATAAAGAAAAAAAAAATTAATCCCGGGTAAAAATGATTTTGTTTTCATAATTTATTAAAGTTTTCGATCAATGACATGTACTTCAGATTTGATTCGTCAATTATTAAATGACAAAAAAAAGTACGTGTGAAAAATCAAAAACAAGAGAAATAAGTACCAATTGTAAGCTTTATTAGTTCGTATATTATTGATATTTGATAATATCGTTAAAGAACCAAGTTCTGCCAAATTTATCTCGATTTTAGTCGATGGCTCAAATCATAAATCAATGAAATTAGTACCAAATTGTTGTCTGTTATTTTTTGCCTGGTGTTGGTATAAAAAATAAAATACTCGAGTTTTAAAATTCCGAAGTCCGAAGAAGTCCGATTTAATAAATAATAATAATGAATTATAGAAGTTTTTACGAAATTTGGAATAAAAGAAAAAGTTGAAGCTTTGTCAACAGATAATAGGTACAAATACACATTTTGGCGGTGTAGCTAGGAAAGGAAAAAATAATATTCCACACTTTCAAAACTGCAGACCGAATTAAATAAAAATATACACAGTCGGATTAGGCTGCTGTGCTCATAATATATTACACAATGCTATTCAATGCGCCTAGGATGATTTACCCGTAGGCGTTGAAGCTATAACGAGTGGAAAAATTAAAAGAGTTTTGTGAATTCGCAGATGTTCAGTAAAGCGATATTTTGGTATGCTAAAATAAGATAACTTTCATAACCATTTATCGTCTGCTATCGATTGAATTGGTTTAATGTGCAATGGTTTAAAGTCATACTCTCTTTCACAAGACTCAAGTCCTAAAATATTAATAGATTTTTTTTAAAACGACAAGTCCCTGCTGTTTATTAAATTCATACAAATTACAATCATAGTGCTTAATAATTATG